AAATATTTCACTTCATTATATTTGAAAGATAGTTTTGCAGGATATATCAGTCTGGGTTGGAATTTGTTTTCTTCCAAGACTTGAAGTATTTTGCTCCATGCTCTTCTTGACTTGATGGTTTGTGAAGAAAAATCTGCCATTATTCTGATGGGAAGATAGATAATCTTGCCTCTACTTTCTTGTGGAACCTCAATATACCAATATTCCATATTTTATTGCTTTGTAACTTCATTTCTTTGATGGAATTAAGAACATGTATTAATTTACACTTAATCCAGTTTTTTTTATGTTGTACTGTTTGTGGTAAAAAAAAGCACAAATTTTTCATGTGCCTCCATATGCAAGATGATAAGCTTCATTCTAACAACCACAAGCTAGAATATTTTAAATAAAAATTAAATAAGAATTAAGTAGAAATATTTTATAACTTGTTTCTGTTGGATTGTTCAATTTTTATGTAGTTTTGTTCTATTGGTGATAAAGAAGACCCACAGCCAATAGGCAAGTAGCCTACTGCTGAGCTGTATATTCAGAAGTACTGGGAAATTAATCAGCAAAAATATCCAAGAATTCTCACTTACATGATCATGTGAAAATATTTCCAATAAACATTCTGCATCAAGCATGACACAAGCTACAGGATGTGTGCTTTTTGTATAAAAGCTGAAGTGAAAAGATTAATATAAAACAATATGAAGTGAGTGATGAGCTGCCTGTGATAGGGTGCAGGAGGAGAGCAGTGGGATGGAGGATTGCAGAGGAGCCACAGGACACACTGCAGGTCTATGATTTGACCACGTGGTTGTCTAAGTGTCCATGTGTGTTAAAATTTCTCAGCCGCACACTGTATATATGGGCAGCTTAAGTGTTATGTGTGTCAGATGTTAGCTATACCTGTACGTAGGATAAGAATGAGAGACTTACTTATAGCTGAAAATGAGAGATTTAATACAAGAGTGCTGCTTCTGTTTTCTCTCAGCAAAGAGAAAAGTCTGGAAATTCACACATGTTCTCCCTACAGGAAGGGGGGATAGAAACCCCAGCAGCTGTGTTCCTCTTTGTCCAAGAGCTGAAATAGTAATCAGTTTGTTAATAATTTAGGAGACTATAGGTCCAGAAAGTGGGGACACAATATACAGCACATCACCTCTTCTACAGGAAAGAAAACTTTTTCACATTCATAATTTCACATATCTAACGTGGAAATTTAATACAAATGAGCATGCTATGTGGGCATAAAATATAAAACTGGATGAAGAGATAAATAACAAACGTTTCATAATTGTTGTTCACATTTTTTTGGGAAAAAAAGTTACTAAACTTCCTGAGTACACTCATATAGGATGTTAACACTGCCGCCTCTGAATTATCTTTGCGAAGAGCCAGTATTATAGGACGAGACCATGCAAATAAGGCGTCCCTCTGCTGGTGAAAACCAGCCCAGCTCGGACCCTGTATCGCTGGTGTGGAACGCAGTCCTGAATGCCAGATTTTCCCACTTGGTAATCAGGACAGATCACAGACGGCTGATCATGGAGCTTGTGCTGAGCTGGGTCTTCCTCCTTACTGTTTTCAAAGGTAATTTACAGGAAGAAGAGACACTGTGTGTGAATGGCGCAAATGGGATAAACAATGGGCATGTGTGACAGTTCCTAAACAGGATGTCTCTGTCTGCAGGTGTCCAGGCTGAGGTGCAGCTGGTGGAGTCCAGGGGAGGTTTGGTTCAGCCTGGAGGTTCCCTGAGACTCTCCTGCGTGGCCTCAGGATTCAACTTCGGGGGCTATACCATGGACTGGGTCCGCCAAGCTCCGGGGAAGGGGCTGGAGTTGATCTCCTACATCAGTAGTAATGGTGGTTACCTAGACTACGCAGACTCTGTGAAAGGTCGGTTCATGATCTCTAGAAATAATGGCCAAAACACAGTGTATCTGCAAATGAACATCCTGAGAACAGATGATACAGCCGTGTATTACTGTGCGAGACACACATTGAGGGAACATCAGTGTGGGGCCAGACACAAACTTTCCTGCAGGGGCGCTCAGAACCAGCAGGGGTAGCTGTTGTACAGGAAGAACCAGGCAGGGCCACCGGAGCAGGTACAGAAAAGGAAGCAGTGAGCCGAGGACTTCCTGTTGGCCTCTCGGATTTGCTGTTCTATATTAAAATCACAGGACCTGAACAGACCCCACATGAGCCACAGTGACGTCTCCAAGTTCCAGTAAACATTGTACGTTACATCCACTTGCATAAGTGCATATGAAATAGCTCCTTTTTCACCTCTTCTATATGAGTTTCATTTTATGGATAAATATGACTTGTATACATCTTGAAGTGACTTGTATGTATGATAAATTTACTTGTAAATTTCAGGGACTTTATTGTTGAATTTCCTAACCCTAAAAATGAATCTACCTAATTCAGTCCCAATTATGAGGAGCTGTCTCCTGCAGAAATGTAGGATACACATTAGAGAATTAAATCCTTTAATTAGGCAACTAATACCACTTGAGTAAGAAACTCTTGATTAAATTGGATCGACATAGTTTGGGCTGTGGCTGAGGTGACTTACTGAAAACAGAAGGCCCACTGTAGGGCAATTTGCTAGATGAATGATATAAAAGGGAAACAAGGAAGACTCACTGGTGTTTCTTCAGAGGCATTTCAGTGTTAATCTCCATATTGTACCTCATCTTCTGGAATTCAATACAGACTCTTTAGCCTTGTAGAGCACACTGCAGCCTCCTGCACAGAACCTTCAACCTTATGGTGCAGATTCATCAAATTTGCGCCACAGATGCTCAGGCTCCTGATAGACTTGCATGGGAAACCACAGTGAGCTCCAGCCTTGGACACATCCTCCAGACTTCCAGTGTGTTCACAGCTGTTTTGCACTCTTTTCTTTCATAATTTTATTGATAAACAAATAGCAATGAGACAGTTTCAAATCAAATCGCAAGGACAGTTTCAATAATCAATACAATGCATACATTCTCCTTAGTGGTTAATTGCTGTACAAGATGCGGACTTGAGATCCCATTTACAAACATCATTAGAACAAATCTTTCTATTCATTAAGAGAATGTAACTATATATCCATCGTAACCATGTTGAATACACAGATACAAAATGGATATTCATCTCTATACCCTTTTTTTTTTTTTTGCTAAGTTCCATTATTTGAATCTTATAGGTGTGTAAACTCAGGAAAATATTCTAAAAGAGTCCAGTAGCCAATAATAGCATTGGGTCTTCTGTTTAACTGGCA